ACTCGGGGGTGCCCCCGGGCGGGAGGGACGAGCCCCCCCAAAACCGATGGGGTGGACACACCCACAGCCCCTCCCCGGGGCGCGGTGAGCCCCGCACCGCCGGGACACCCAGCTGGAGAGAAGGGCGAACCCCTCCCGGCTGGAAATGGGAGCCCCGGGCCAGAGGGGTGACCCCCTCTCTGGGGGGACAGACACCCCCGGAGCACAGTCCCTGCCACTGGGGCTTGGACATCCCCCGTGTCCCAAACCTGGAACCCCATCCCACGCCCAGGCAGGTTCATGCAGCAGTGCGCACCCCGCTGTACCTCTGCTCCTTTTGAGGACTGACAAAACCTGCCATTTTTTAACTCGTGTCCCTTAAAAGGCTGTGGCCTTCCCCTCGCCGCAAAGCACTGCCCTTTAGCTGCGGGGGTCCGGGTCTGTGCCCCCCCAGCGCTGCCCCTTGTCTGCCCAGTGCCCCTGCGGGCTCCGGGGCAGGGCACTCGGACAGGGAGAAGGGGCGACAGCGCCTGGTTGATTATTTTTTCCCCCAGGCCTCTCGACGCAGCCCATCTGGCGCAAGCTGTGGGACGACGTGATGAAAACCAGGCCGCCCAACTCGGAGGTGAGAGGACGCTGCCAGTGGGAGAAGGGGCAGGACGCAGGCACCCCGTTTCCGACACCTTCCGCGAGGTTTCATTTTGAAGCCTGCTGGTGCTCCTGGCCACCTCCGAGCGATTGTAAGCGTTCGTAGAGCTCAGGACCAAGGCATGGCCCTGGCATTACAGTCATTTTGGGGAAACAGGGTTCATAAAGCGAACTGCAGTGTGCAGCCACACCCTTCATCTCACAACAGCAAGTCTGCTGAAAGAAAAAAATCCTGTCTTTAGAGATGTAATTCTTAGGGAAACGGAGGATAAAAACAGTATCTTATATCATGCTTACACCTACGCTGGCAAAAAAAATGTGCTGATGTCTTAGAAAGCACTAGAAAAGTACTTACAGGAGACAGTGAGTTTGGAAGAATGGTTTTACATAGGAAAACTGAAGCAGCTCCATTGATTCAGTGTTGCAAAAGAATCATTAACAGGCAACTTAATTGCAACCTATAAATAGACGCTGGGGAAGAAAATTCCTGATGCTGTATTTTTTAATAGGCAAAACACGGTGTAGCTTCAAACCACTGAGTATGTTTAAATTGGCGCAGAAGCAGGATGAAGAGGGAGTAATGGGAGTAACTCTGTTTTTCAACAAACACCCTGAGGAAGGATGCTGAGAGCTAGGAAGGCAGTCTCGGTTGTGCTAGTGGTAGGGGGTTTTGCACACCGCATTTACCAGGTTAGCAGATGGCAGTAATTTAACTTTAAAAGAATGAGAAAAATTGTGGGTGACTGTTTGTTAATATGGCCCTGGTGTTGAATTGCAGAATATAACCTGTTGGAGGAAGAAGTTCCTTGAAACATTCTTCTCAAATGTTCTTCATGGTGTCTTGGACGTGTCCTCTGACTGGCGTCTCAACGACCATCACTTTTCACCGCTGCTGCACAGCTCCCCGCACGTTTCCCAGCTTACCCTCTGCAACATGCTGCAGGGTGCGGTGGAACTCACAGCTGAGCACAACCAGAAAGTGCTTGACAACCTGGCTGGCTCCCTGCAGATCCTGAAGTTCCAGCACCTCCTCTCCTCCGACCAGTCCATCAGGCGTTCGCTGGTTTTACTTCTTCACCGGCTGATTCACCACGGCTCTGTCAGCCAAGTGTCCATGTATTCCTGGCCTGTTCCCGACACAGTTCTTCTCGTTCTCATTTTGAGCATGAGTGCTGGGTTTTGGCGCTCGGGAAATGCTCTTGCGTATCATAGCAGCCCGTGTGGCCTTTGCAGGGAGGAGGACAAAGCCCAAAGCCAGGAATCGGCGCAAGAGCGAGCGGAGAGCAGCCGTTGTGATGAGAGGGAGTGGAGCGATGGCGAGAACCAGAAGCGATCCCCCAGGGCCTCGGAGGAGCCTAATGCGGAGGTGCGTGGATGTGGAGCTGACACTCACCTGAACCCTGTCCTTTCCGGACTGAGAAGTCCTCCCTTGCGAAACCAAGCATGCAATGAGGCAGGTGGCAAGGTGCCCCATGACCACACCAGTGTTCAGGGAGGATCTTCTTGCTGCGTCTCAGACCCACTGTCCTGTCACCCCATTCTTCGAAAGACACGCAGGCGGCTGAAATCTGCAGTGGGGAAGAAACGTCGCTGCCTCAGACGGAGCAGGGGACCATACGCTGACCCAGAAGACCTGTACGATTTTGTTTTTGCTGTTGCTAGAGAAGATAATTCAAGGTTACTTGACAAAAACAGCGCCACAGAGGGAGAAAACGCTGAGAACTGGACTAGTTCCTCCCCGGGATCTCTGTGCACTGGCCATGCTGGCTGTAAGAAAAGAGGAGGATCTGCTGGGATCTTTTCTCTGAAGGCTGCTCACCGCTTCCGAAGCGTGTCCACGCTGGAATTGTTCTCCATTCCTTTGACTGGGGAGACATGTCGGACTCTGAGTAACCTGCTGAGCTCCTGGGTGTCTTTAGAAAACTTGGTTCTGTCTTACAATGGTTAGTGGTGTGAACAGGTTGCTTCCTTCCAGCCTTGGTCTAATGGCCTGACTTACTGCACAGGTTTACACTGATTTTATTTTTACTGGAACGGGCATTGTGAGAGTATTGGTACCTGATCCTGAGAATGGCATCGGTAGAGATGTTTAATGAGGGTGAGGACTTGTTTGAGGGAGAGAACGGGGCCCTTCTGCCCCAGCACAGCCCCCAGCATTGTGCTTAAACTCCATCCAGAGAGGGCAAAGGGAGGAGCCAGATCTCCATCTCCCGTATACACAGTCTAGCTTAAGAACGTGTGGATAAAGCAGCCTGTGAGTTTAGCCTTTGACTGAGGTTGCTTGGCTGTTGGTGCAGCTCCAGCTGCGTGCGTGTTTGTGCCTGTTACAGCCACAGCTAACATCTTTCTGTACAAATGCTGTTCCAGGCCTGGGTGCCAACATCTTCTGCATCCTCTCTGGGCTCCGGGCCCTCTCCCGCCACTCGGACTGCCGCCTCCGCGTGCTGCGCGTGAGCGATGTCTTCTCCCACATGCCCTGCATGGAGCTTGTTCGCTGCATCCTGAGCGCCTTTCCCCAGCTCCACACGCTCTCAGTCAGCTTCGACCTCAAAAACCAGCTGGAGGGGAACAGGCCTGAGGGGAATCCAAGCTGCAGCGAGGCAGAAATCCCAGGTAGGAAACAGATTCTGAGCGATGACCAGGGTGTGGTAGGCAGATAGAATTGTAAAAGCTTGGCATGCAGATTTGAACTCTACGCTGTTACAGTGATTTGTAATTAACCAATTACAGCCTCACTTTTCTGATTTAGATGGTGTTGCAGTTTGTCATTTCCAGTCTGTGACGTGCTCTGGGGAGCCCGAGTCTTGGACAAAGCATTTTATTGCTGTATACCAACCTGCTGCCACATCGGCTTTGTGCAGGGCTGGTCATAACCTGGCAGTGACTGTCCACGCAGTCCACGGGGAGCGTAAATCTGTAAATTGGGTGGGAGCTTCTGCTTTGTCCATCCTGTTGACTGTGAGGCTCTGAGCCTTAAGTGGACCCTTAAGCAGAGGGAAAGCATCTCTCGATTGTCACTGTACTACGGGTGATGGCAAAGCGCTGCCCAAGCCTCTGGATTAGAGTCTGGGAGCTATAGCAGCCTGTTCTCAACTCAGAGGTCTCTCATCACCCTTATTAGTCATTAAATGACCAGAAAAGCAGTAAGCAAAGCCTGAGCAAGGATGGAGTGGGGTCAGTGAAGAGCTGTGCTCTGAGAAGACACTGACTGGTTTGTGAATAAAGGGTGGCTTTTTCTCAAGCACTGTTTCACTGCCAGAACACCGTAGAAATTGGTGGCCCTGTGGTCTGGCAAGAGTGCTGAAATGAACCTTAAGGAATTCACGTTACCATAGGTCTGAGTTGCCACAAAGCTGTGAGGCAGGGTGCATTGCACAGGCACTTTCTGCCAATCCAAATGATAGTCATGTCAGGCACACAGACTGCTTCCTTGCCCTAGGACCTAGCTATGTTGAAGATGGGCGCTGCAGACCAAGCTCTTTCATTGTTTTTTGTTTTTCTTCCCTTAGAGAGCTGCCTGGAGCAGCTAGAGATCCGATTCCCCAGGGAACCTCTGGACACCGCCTTCCTGCTGCCAGTGCTCAAGGCATCAAAGTCCCTCCAGCAGTTGTCTCTTGACAGCGCCACGCTGCCCTCTTCTCAGGAGCTTGGGCTCCTATTGGAGGTGCTCAAAGGTACTCTGCTAAGCTGTAGGTAGCATCACTGTGACCCAGGGAGCAGCTTCCTTGCTGTGATCTTCCATCTTTTAGCGTGAAGCCAGCTTAGGTGGGTCCATTTCTTCAGTGTGGACATCCTTGAAATCTCACGAGAAAAGGAAACAGGTGTCAGCCATCCCACTTTCTGTGCTCAGCATGTGAATGATCCTGCACAACAGAATCATAGAATCATAGAATGTTTTGGGTTGGAAGGGACCCCTAGAGGTCATCTAGTCCGATGCCCCTGCAGTGAGCAGGGACAACGCTAACTAGATCAGGTTGCTCAGAGCCCCGTCCAACCTGGCCTTGAATGTTTCCAGGGATGGGGCCTCCACCACCTCTCTGGGTAACCTGTTCCAGTGTTTTACTACCCTTGTTGTAAAGAGTTTCTTCCTTATATCTAGTCTAAACCTACCCTGGTTTAGTGTAAAACCATTACCCCTTGCCCTGTCACAGCTGGCCCTACTAAAATGATTTCCCCATCTTTCCTATAGGCCCCCTTTAGGTACTGAAAGGCCGTAATCAGGTCTCCCTGCAGCCTTCTCTTCTCCAGGCTGAACAAGCCCAACTCTCTCAGCCTGTCCTCATAAGAGAGGTGTTCTAGCCCTCAGATCATTTTTGTAGCCCTCCTCTGGACCCGCTACAACAGTTCCGTGTCCTTCTTGTGTTGAGGGCTCCAGAGCTGGACAGGATGGTTCCTTTTTGATTACCCACAATCCAGCACAAATTTTCCACAGTCCAACTCAGTTTCTGGGTGTTAGCTGGTAATTGGGTCAGGGTCTTCTTATCCCAAGGACATACAGTATTTTACCTGAGAACTTGTTTTGCTTTTAGAGTGTAATCCGAATTTGAAGAAACTGAGCTTTCATGATGTGAACCTGGCTGAGCACCAGAAAGAAGTTCTACTTTTGCTTCAGGATCCCGTCCTGCAAGGTACAGCAAACTCCTGGGTGCTGTTGCTTGGAAAGATGCTGCAGGTGGCTGCTTTTGGCCGGCTGACGTTTAAGAGGTGATCTTCAGATGTGTAAGGTTTAGCCAAATGTCACTGTCCCTGGAGCAGATCTGTAGCTGTTGGCAGAGTGGGAGCGCGTCTGGTTCTTTGTGCCAGCAGGGCAGAGAGAGGAGCTGGTGCATGCTGCAGAGAAGAGACCTTAGACTTGGCTATCTACAACGATTTTGAACCTGCAGAGCGCATTGGCCCTTAACTGGGTCAGCTGGCAAAGCTGCTTCCCTGGGTGCGATCTCCGCTCTCTCCTTGCGAGAGCGGCACTGCTGTTGTGTGCAATCCACTGCTGGGGAAGCTTTGTTCTTGCATATGATTAAGGGCTGGAGCTGTCTGCAGGATGTAATTATGGAATAATGAAGCGCACAGGGAGTACTAATGTGCACTGTCAATCCATTTCTTCCGTAGAAATCACGTTTTCCTTCTGCCGTCTGTTTGAGAGCTCTACTACTGAGTTTTTGTCGGAAATAATCAATACAGTGAAAAGAAATTCATCCTTGAAGAGCCTCAAACTGCCTGGGAATCGCCTTGGTGCGTACAGTGAATGTTACTGTGGGGCCTTGACCTTAGACCAGCTCTCTTGGAGGTAACTTTAGGGTTGGAGTTAAGACCATTGCTGTCTGGTGACCTCGGTGCCGAACAGAGCGCATTTAGTTCATTTCATAGGGAGCACTGAGTTCATTTTTTTAAAGGCAGAATCGCAGTTTCGTTCAGCAGTGTACCAAGAGCCCAGATGCTGTGCAGGCATTACGGTTGCCTTTCTCAGCAGCAAAAGCAAGTGTCAGCAGGTCTGCAGATTGACTGAACGCTGAGCTGCTTCAGACTCTTCAACAGGAACAGATCCAGCAGCAGATGTGCTGCCTCTCATTCAGAGGCACAGGTTTTGCCTGAGTTTGGGCGTTTTGTGCCTTAAAAGCTGTTGGCAGCTACTGGAGGGATGGGAACAAGGAAGGGTTTGTGTCAAAGAAATGAAGCTGAATTTACAGAAATGCTTGAGAAATGAGTTTCAGGTAAACTCAGAATACTGTTTCCTGTTCTTTTAATGAAATAAGAAAGCCTGTGATCACCCAAAATACACTTAATTCCTAAGGTTTGTGTTAAAAATGGCCAAAAGCACAGGGTTAAAAACGACGCTGCATAGTGACTTGTCAAACAAAAGCAGGATTTTTCTAGTGACACAAACTGCCCTGTCAGCAACTGTTTCCATTGCCTTGAACACTGCTCGGGGGTGAACTCGCTTTAGGCCAGTAAGGGTGCCGAGATGAGCCCTTTGTGCTGCGTGCACACGCTTGCAGCCTCCTTTCTGCACTATTATCCCAGCCCTGTAGCCATTGAAATATTTAAGACAGTTCCCAGCTTGTGTCTAAACACCCGCATCTCCTCCCCTTTCAGGGAATCACAGGCTGGTTGCCCTTGCAGATATTTTCTCTGAAGATTCCTCCTCTTCTCTTTGCCAGCTGGATGTCAGGTATTCTGCTGTTCCTACACACACCAAATTTCTTGTTTTGGGAGGGCCAGAGCTGAACTGGGCTCAGACAGCAGGAGAAGCCTGAGCATGGTTTTGTTCCTTCCTCAAGAGAACGCATGCCCAAGAAAAGCTTAGAGAAATGCTGCAGTGGGCACACACAACCTCAGGGACCTCCAGCATCTCTGAGACATCTCACTGTCCCTTTTATAAATGAGTGAAGCTCATCTTAAGCTTTGGTTTGCTGCTCCCTTGGAAGGCTGCTCCAAGCCCTTCCTGTGCTGTAGGTGAGAACTAACATTGCTATGTACATTTATTCTTAGGTATCAGCATGAATAGCTCTGTTCCCACAGCCCCTGCCTGGGGAGAGAATGCTGCCATTGCCCCTGTCAGATCCTGTGAATACTTCTGCATTCTTTTCATCATCTTTGGTCTTCAACCTGAACTGCTGCTCTCTTCTTGAGCCTGAATGGCCATAGAGATAGGCAGTAACCTTCAGGAAGCACATGGAAGGTGGCATTTCTGCAATACTAACGACTTTTTTTGCTTGATTACTTCCCCTACCACCACCTTCTTTACATCCTAATGGCTCAAGTTGCTGAGAGTACACAGGATTGACAGTTAATTTAACCATGGCCACTCCTTCAGCAGCCTTGAATCCTGATTGTTACCGTGCCTCTCACAAAATTAAATCCAGCATGCAACATCATATTTATACATCTGTGCAGGTGAAATGATCTTTTAATCTCTTAGAAACACCAGGACCTGACACATGCTCTCCAGATTTTCAGATCTCAGAAGGAAGAGATAAATAATCATTTACTGCTGAGGCTTGCACTCAGACCTGGAGGTTGGGCCAGGCCCCTTGGTCCAGGCAGCTGGTGGCTGCTATGAGACTGAAGGGCTCCTGGCACCGCTTAGCCAGCAACTTGGGTCCAGCAACAATTTAAGGCCACAGCTAGGTCTACTTGAGTCAATAGTAAGGAGGATACTTGTCAGTTACCTTAGTTTTAAAAAGCTTCTAGCCCTTCGTATTACTGTGCTTCAGTTTTGTTTTTCATCAAAATTAATGGAGTGCTCAGTTTGTATTGCTGAAGAAAGTTGTACATCCTCATGTACCTGCACTGGCAGTTACTAGAAGGAACAGTAATTTAAACGGCTCAAATTATAACCTAGAATTTTAATGACTTTTGGTTTTGTCCTTCTTTCCCTGGAAAGCTCAAATTGCATCAAACCTGATGGGCTCCTGGAGTTCACAAAGAAGCTGGAAGGCCACATCCAGCAGAGAGGGGGACAGATTCAATTCACACACCTCCGCCTCTTCCAAAATTGGCTGGACCAGGATGCTGAAACAGCTCAAGAAGCGCTTCGGCGTCTCAAAGCTGTCTGCAGTGTGGTCAATGACTCGTGGGACTCTTCCCAGGCCTTTGCTGACTACATCAGTATCATGTGATGGACACATGAGGAGGAGAAAACCGATCAGCTTGAGCTAAACAATTCAGTCCCTGTCCAGTAAGATTTATTTCACAGCACAGGTGGGTGGTTCTTCCCCTGGTTCAAGCAGTATACAGTTGTTCTTGTCACTTTTCTATTCATTTGAAGAAGAGGTACCACAGTGAAGTGACACACAAGACCATGTGGGCCAACAGCTGTGTTTCTAACATGATCTCACTCTAAACATCTTCTCAGTGTGAATAGTTTAAGTGGGACAGGTATCAGATGAACTTCTGTGACTTCCTGCAGATCTCTGGACAAGCAGTTATTTATTACGCTGGGTGTTGTTGCAAATTTCATGTTGTTTAAACCAACATCTCATGAATAACTAATCTCCATCCTTGGAGAGACTCAAGCCATCTGGTTGTGGTCCTTAGCAACCAGCTGTAGGTGACCTTGCTTTTGAGCAGGGGCATTGCACAGTAATGACCTCGAGGTCCCTTCCAACTTCAACCATTCTGTGATCTGTGAAATAAGAACTCCTCCCTCCATTTAAAAGGAGTAGCAAGCAAGCTAAAAAAGCCCCCAGCCTTGACCTTTTACAGTTGGAACATTTTACTTTTACATAAGAAAAAAAAAAAAAAAAGTTCTTTATGTACCAGGTAGCCTGCTGTTTATTTGCAATCATGTTGCCCTTCTCCAATGTCTGCAGTTATTTTACAGAGGTTTTGAATAGTTTGTTATTTTGTAACATTTTTTATAATAAAAATATAATTAAGAGCCAGAATGTACCAAAATGTGAATTTTATTACTGACTTGTAATGTGATCTAATTAAAACACTCTGCTAGATCAGGGGATCCTGCCCATAAAAAAGCAAGTGGTTTAGAAATGGAGTTACCATAATAGAGCCTGATTTCTTACTGCCTGCATGATCTTTCAGGCCAGATGTTCAACATGTAAGCTGAATTTTTTTTTCCTCTTGTACAAACCCTCTTGTTCCTGAGTAATCAGCAAGATTCACATTTCACAACAGACACTGATCCTGCAAGGTTCTGCTCAGCAGCTGCAAGCCATAGCTGTCAAGGAAGAAAACAGGACTCTGCACATCAGGTGCTATGAAACTGCAGGCTTAACTTAAACCTGAAGACAAAACTTGGCTGAGTAGATGGCACAGACACCAACAGCACAAGAACCAGTGCTGAGTCTGATGAAGCACACAAGGCCCAGTTATTCCCGGTTCCCAAAAGGCTGGTTTTTAGGCACACAATACAACAGCAGAGGAAAAAGCCATGGAATCCTTGCTGTTGCAGTAGACTGACCAATGCTAAGGGCCTTCCAGCTTCTCAGAAACCACACTGTTCTGCTATTACACAGCCACACAACAATCCAGCATGCACTGCTACCCCCTGCCCCTTTCCTTGAAAGGGATTAAAGTGGGGTGGACTGCTGCAGCAGCCTGCCCTTGCCCCCACAGGGGACAGTAACCTGTTAGGGAATCCCTCGCTGCTCCTCATGGGAGTGATGATGAAAGGTGAAGGTGACAGCAGCATCCCACGCAGCCTTCAGCACGGAGTCCTGCAGCCCCCGCTTGTCAGCACAGTGGTTCCACTGGGAGAGGTCAGAGGTACAGTCGGACCCTTCAGGAGGGGGCCGTACCTGGTGGCCGTTCACACAGCGACGACACTTGATCCTGGAACAGAGCCAGCCTAAGGTCAGTGCCTGGTTCCTCCACTTCTTTAGTGTATGGGTTGTTTAAAAAATTGGATTAACTCCCCTTCACCTGCAACACTGGCAACTGGATTTTCAGACAGGACTAATCACTACCACATTTCACTTAAACGCACAACCACCTTCTGGCATGTGTGACAGATAATCTCACATTTTGGAAACCCTGGGGTTCTGTTTCTAACGGCACTCTCCTCCATGTTTAGCTGTGTGGGAATGGTCCAGCAGGACCCAGGAAGTTCAGGAGTTTCCCCTGAAAGGTAAGGGATGTTGCTTCAAGCAGATCGAGTGAACACCCCTACTGCTAACACAGTAACACACATTCTTAGCACTGCATCAGGCTTCCCGAGTTCAAGAGAACACACCATGCTCCAAACCACTCCATCCTGGCTCCCACCACAGCCACTGGGTCATGCTCCCCCTTCACCTGCAACACTGGCAACTGGATTTTCAGACAGGACTAATCACTACCACATTTCACTTAAACGCACAACCACCTTCTGGCATGTGTGACAGATAATCTCACATTTTGGAAACCCTGGGGTTCTGTTTCTAACGGCACTCTCCTCCATGTTTAGCTGTGTGGGAATGGTCCAGCAGGACCCAGGAAGTTCAGGAGTTTCCCCTGAAAGGTAAGGGATGTTGCTTCAAGCAGATCGAGTGAACACCCCTACTGCTAACACAGTAACACACATTCTTAGCACGGCATCAGGCTTCCCGAGTTCAAGAGAACACACCATGCTCCAAACCACTCCATCCTGGCTCCCACCACAGCCACTGGGTCATGCTCTGGCTGTTTACTGAGCTGCCACACAAGGAGAGGAAGAGCAGCAGCAGCCCTGCCAGCAAAGCTTGTTGCCATGCAGACAAGATACCTACACAGAGCTAAGCTCTGAGTCAGCTTAAAACTAATCCTCTTCACTTCTTGCCTGAACTAAGAATCTTAACATGCACAGTGAAGTGTTTTCCTGCACTCCCTGTCCTCTTTCTGGTGGCTGCAATATCACAGGTCTCGGGGATGGGGGAGAAGGGCAGATGATGGAGAAGAGGATTCTTTTAGTCTCCAGAACAGCACTTGGGTTGGCCTCATGAATTCTTAACAGATGGAGTTGCCCTGGCAGTGGAAACAGCTCAGCATTTGGGTAAGAAACCACCAGAAGAGCAGCAAGGAAGGACCAAACTGGGCTCCACCAATTTGAACTGCTGTGATCAATTTCTCTCTTTTCATTAGCTGCAGTATTTCACAGCCTCCAAACACAGGCAGCAACAAGGTAGTTTGCTCACTTATCCAGCCAGCACAGCTTTACTAAGACAACAAAAAGGAGGACAGCAAGGAAGTGCTCATCTCCAGGTGGTTAACAGCTTCAGAAGCAGGGACACTTGAGGCCCACTCTCTCTCTAAGCTTCCTCCTGCTGGCTGAGGAACCCCTGAATCAGGAGACCAAACTGTGGAGGGTTTTTTTTTTCTTGCTGACTTGATCCATTAGTCATTCAATATACTCACTTGTCATGGGTGTCACTGGTGGTAGTCTCATTCAATGTGAAGAGCTCCTTCAGCTCCCCGAGTGAGAAATGCCTTTCTACATCCTGTTCTTCATCCACCACGCAGCTGCTGAGAGCCTTCTTGTGGGTCTGGCGTTGGAATATCTTCTCCTCTATGGTCCCCGTCTACAGGAGAGAGTGTCAGAGATGAAGCATAGCTGGGACACGTGTTAAAGGAGCACTACACTGGGAAAGTGTCACAGATCAAACAGCAGTACGCTGTCAGGACCAGTTAGTACCTTGCCAGACCAGTGCAGATGGCAGGCAAGTTTTACTAGCTGCACTCCAACCTTGTCCTATCTAGTTGCTGGTCTAACCCAACTCTGCTTCCCTTGTCTTTCACCGTGGCTACCAGAGTGGATCCAACAGAGATATGGATGAAGAAGAGGTGGAGATGCCAGTTGTGGCTGGAGCTCACACACCACACCAGCTTGTGCCGACAGGAGGGAAGAGAAAGGAGATGAGCAGCTACAGCTACTCCCTGACAAAAAAAATCCCAAACAAACAGAACACCCACTCAAAAAACAGCATCAAAGGCTAGCCCTTGGTGACATGAGCATCAGCAGTATTTGCTGGCCCACCCACACACAGATCAGTCACACCCACTGTCTGGAGGGAGATGACTACATCTAGAACAGATGTGCAGAAAGCCCAGTATGCTACATTTTTAAGGCAAAAATCTAAGAGCAAAATATCTGGTTTGCAAACAAATGTAACACAAAGGAGGGGGGTGATTAGTCATGATTTGCAGACCAGTTTCCTAGTTCTAAAAGCACAGGAGCTCCTTGCTTCCAGGTGCAGCAGGGTCAGAGGAAAAACAGAACACCATAAGGAAGAGATGGGCAAAGAACATCTGTTTTGTCAAAGTAAAGTAAGAATTGATCAAGGCACACAAGCTTACAAAAAATACCAACAAAAAAACCACAAACGAAAACAAAAAACCCACGGTCTGAACTAATGAGAAGTGAAGGTCAACAAGGGCAGAGAGGGGACTTTTCTGAGCAGTGATCACTACTGGCACTGCTGGACAAAGCATTACAATAGCCTGAAAAGTCTTGTCTCCTTTGTGCTTTTCTTTTACAGAGCAGCTAGCCCAACAGCTAACTGGAAGCCTCATTCCAAAAGCTGCTGTAGTTCTGGGAATGTAGTTGCCGTTTATTGAGTACACGTACACCCAACCAGAACAGACTGCAACCAGTCTGAAAAACAGCAACTTTGGCATCAGATACCCCAGGAAATCAAAGAAGTCAGATGCCTAAATGACTTCAAAGGAGCATCTGATCTGGAAAGCTGCAGTTTCTGTTTCTCAGAAGCCAGTCACCATTAGAAACTAAGGCTTGCAGTAATGACCCTCCAGCTTGAACCTTCATGGTTCTTCACGGCAACACATCTAGGGGTAGGAAGCAATTAAGTTCCAATCAATTCTGGTCACCAACACAAAAGAGTTCTTCCCCTTCTGGTCCCAAACATAGCAGCTACAGATTGGGCTGGCACTAAGAACTCCACGTTGAGGAGGTGAGAGGAGCAAGACTCACTGAAAGCAGCCGATAGATGTAGCAGGTCTTCTTCTGGCCATCCCGCCACACACGAGCCATGGCCTGCTCATCATTAGCTGGATTCCAGTCTGGGTCGAACATAACCAGTCTGTTAGCCCCAATCAAATTCAAACCGCAGCCACCTGCTTTGCTGCTTAACATGAAGATAAATTCAGGGCTCTGTGGAAAAAGGCAGGCTTGGGTCAAACTATAGAGGCAGCCATACTTCCACTCACAGCATTCAGAACTGGCAGGGGGGCTGCTCGCATCTGGCAGATTCTACTTACTGAGGGGCTGTTGAATCGCTCCACAATCTTTGCTCTCTTTTTAATAGACATGGTGCCATCCAGCCGGACATATAAATACCTAGAATTTACAGCATTCACTACAATCAGACTGCTGTGACCTTTAGAGCATCCTACTTGAAAGAGAAAAATCTTTCACAAACAGCCTTGTAACAAGGGCCTGGGCTTTTAGGAGCATTTGCAGACGCCCAGAGCTTTTCTGCTAAGTGACCCCAGTAGCCAAAGCACAAGTCACATTAGTTCCAATCAAGGAACATCTAAGGTAAAAGAAAGAT